CGAGCACATGAATAAAAAAAAGTCCGATTTTGTGCATATGAATAGTACAAAAGGTAAATAGTTATGGTAAAAAGGTAAAAAATCATGGTAAAAAAGTGCCTGAATGTTTAATTTGGCCTGCATATATCATTACCCTATAAATGTGCACTCATGAACCTAGCTTGAACACCAAGATATCAATAGTAAGGAATTAAAATATTTCATGCAAACTAATTAGATAGATTTTATTTTATTTTTCTATTTTAAACAATCCCATAAGGAATAAAATAAAGTTTTATCACAATAAAATCTTTAGCTTGATCAAGATATCAATAGTAAATAATTATAATATTTCATGATATCTACAAAGTACAACCTAATTAGATTAGATATGAAAATATTTTTTTCCTAATATAAACAGTTCTAGAAGGAACAAAATAAAGTTCTACTATAATAATATTTTGACAAATTTCTAGCCCAATTTCGGTAAAATACGAAATACGAAACACGAAAATTTTGTGTTTTGAATTTTGGCCAATTCATACTAAAAAATAATCAAAATTACGTTTGAAATTGAAACGATTAATGCATCCCAGAATGTTTTCACACTTGGCTATATTTTTAGTGGAAAATATTTTTAACCACCCATCCTTATAAAATTACCCTTATCATATAAGTGGATATATTACCAAAGAGAAACTTACCTTTATTATTTCCCTTAATATATGAAGCATTATTATAGTAATAATATCACATCAAACGTTCACGTTTGATGGGACATGTCACATCAAATTTACTTGACTTATTTTTTAATTTCTTTTTTCGAATTTGTTCCATTTATCATAATTGGAGATATTACCAAATAAAGCACACATTTATTATTTCCGCATAATATATGAATCAATTTATAGTATATATCACATCAAACTTACTTGACTTAATATTATTTCTATTCCACATATGTGAACCATTATTTAATTTATATCACATCTAACTACCTAAGTTAATTTTGAACTAAACTACGGTCACCCTCAAAGTAGGGTGAAATTACGAAAAAAACCCTCGTGTTTGAGTAATACAATAACCATCTCAATTACTATTTTTCTTAAACATCCATTCTCATGACGTCAAATTCAACATAATCTTCTAGATTTTGTGGATTGTTCTTTAGTTTGTGCTCGTTTTGTGCAAAAATATAGTTTCTGGTGCACCACAATCTGATATTTTCCAAATGTGTAATACATCTATAAACTGAAATAATATTTCTCAGAATCTTCAAAATTCCACTAAATTTAACACTGCAACAATGAATATGTAAGAAATTTCATACTTGAAGACAGTAATAGTAATTACCAAAACATGAAGGGATATTTCGGTAATTTAATATTAATTGAGTGGCCGTAATTTACTCTTAATTGTATTACCAAATAAATTGTTTTATTATGTTGCGGACCAACAGTAAATAACGGGCCTCTATTGTAAAATCGAATAAAACATTGGCCTCGACTAGTAATATATTCGACTAGTAATATATATCAAGGCCCATCAAACTTATCAAAAAAGACAAAAAATAAAAGTATGAAGAAGTACATTCGCAATAAATTATGAGGTTAAAAAACTAGAGAAACATTTAAAAAGCTATTCACTCAATCTCTGGTAAAAAAAAATGTTTTTAAACCCTAAAATGCATGATGATGAAGATGATGAAGAAATTCAAATGAAACCGAACAGGCTGTAAATTACTGGGAAGCATCTTTTAACTACAGGTGCTCCGATTTTCCCTCTCTATCTTCATCGTTAAAATTTTGTATTGTTCATAATAATCAGTAGAACAAAAATAAAACTGTTTGTGGTTGCAGTACAAGTAATATTTATGTAGGATGAGGTTTTTTCGAAAATATTAGTCCCCGGAATATTCCTTTTTGTGGCGGTTTTGGATGGTGGAGTTAGTGGGTCTACAATGGCGAGTGGTATTCTTTAGTGGGGTTTTTTTATAATTTTTTTGTTGTTGTTTTCCCCTTATTTCTATCTCTGACTTAATATTTATCTACACAGTACTTACAAATTTTTGTGTTGGTGTTGTGTGTGTGTGTGTGTCTGTGTGTGTGTGTGTTTTGGGGATTTAGGGATTTTTTCATGTATGTCAATTTTTTAGGAGAAAAAACTAACTATTGTCGAAAATTTGATATCTAAGGTGTAAGGCAACGATAGGGAAATCATCATCATTCGGAAAATATGTCGATAAGTAGTCAAATTATGCGAAATTCGAAATCCGACAAATATAAGGAGAACTTGTCGAGTTTTTCTGGTTCAAAGCAACGTGTGAGGAAACTTAGTTTGTCTGAGTTGAACGGCAATCAAGACAAGAAAAGGAATAAACGCAACTCGATTTCGCCGAGAAAGGAATCCGAGGGAGTTGCTACGAAGGAAAAGAAAATGACCGGTCGTCTTTTCAAGTCTCGTTTGGAGAAAGTGTGCGTTAAACGAAAAGTACCAGGTACATTCTTCTCTATATTGAGTAGATAATAGATATTTTCAAAAATTCGTTACCATTGAAATAATTGCCGTTCTTTTTCTAGATATTGACGCTGAGCTGGAAGGATTGGATAAACTGTCGCACGCTTGCGTTGGTAATGTTGATTCGCCCGATAAAGTTGCGAAGGTGAGGGTAATGAATAATTCTGTTTTATTTATTTGTTTATGTATTTTTTGAATATTTCGGAAGTTAAATGAAGTTACTGAGGAGTTATTTTTTAATGTCATTTCAAAAGCAAAGTTGGATAGCGGTAGCCGTAGTACAAAGAAACGCATGAGGGTTCTGTCCTTGAATGGATTGCCTTGTAAATCAGATACCGAGAATGCTGACGTGGCAAAGAAACGTAAAATGGCAGTGATCGAAAATGTGGAGCCAGCCTCGGTTGTTGACTCAGAGAGAGGTAATTGATTTTATTTATGTAAAAAATATTTAAGTTGTTTTCGAGCAGTAATATTACGTACATGTGCAAAAAATGTGTTTCTAAAATTATGTTGTGATACAGATCACAAAAACGAAGAAGAAATTGTCAAAGATGCATTTATAGTTAATGAACCGAGTTTGCTGTTGTCATCTGTTAAGATGAAAATCAAAGAAAATTCGACTAATAAAGAACGAAACGAAGGGCAGGTCGCTTTACAGAAGAAACAAGCGGCGAAGGATAAAATTTACGAGAATGGAAAAGATAAAAAAATTTATAAAATCCAGAAAAAATGCAAAAAGCGAATGAAGAAACTAATGCGTAAACAATACGAGGAAATTCAGGAGTTTAATCGAGTTTGGGAGGATAAGAAATCGAAACTGGAGATAGATCACAAATTGGAATCGGCTGTTATTCGGTCTATATTCAGTGAAGGCATGGCAAGATCGGGCAAACTGAAGGTGTTGGACGATAAATTCGCAAAGAAAATGGAAGAGAACAATCTATTGAAAGAAGCAGGGCTTAAAAATCTCGAGGCGGAGCAATTATCCGCTGTGTATGCGGAGAAACAAAAGGCCTCTCATTGGCTGGATCAAGTGACCGCATTCTCCTCTAGCGAACTAAGGGCCATTGATCGAGCGCCAGCTGGAACAAGTAAAACCGTTTGTAGAGAAGTTTCGGATTATGTTAATCCTTTGGAGTTGAGTAATGCTTCTGATGGAAGGTACGATGAAGATGACACAATTGGTTTATGTTTTGATGGACAAATAGTGGAATCTTCGGAGCAAACAAAAGATTCCCCAGACGTGCGAAATGAGGCGGACAAAGATTCCTCGGGGGTGGTCGGAACTGTTTGTGATGAAATTGTTGACTTTGTTGACCCTTTGGAATTGAATGATGCTTCGAATAAAGAGCGTGATAAAGTCGAAACTATTTGTGATGAAATTGTTGACTGTGTTGACCCTTTGGAATTGAATGATGCTTCGAACAAAGGGTTCGACGAAGGAGATACGATTGATTCGGCTGATGTTTTACCTTTGGAGCAAACTGAAGATGAACCGCAAGACCAAGGGGCAAATGTGGCAGAACAGGAAAATGGTCTGCAGTACAACACTGCATCTTCGACGCACATGGACACTTGTACAATTTTGCTGTCTGAAACCGAACTGGAAAACCGAGATGCTCATGATCTAGAAAGTCAAACTACTTCACATAACGAAGTTGCACCCCTTGACTTAATCGACACTGTAACAACCCCTGAGGACCGAGATGCACCAGTTTTAGAAGAAGATCAAGCCACTCTGCGGGACGAAATTACAAATCCGCCACTAGTCGACACTGAGGGTGCAGTGAATGAACTACAAGACCTAGGAGCAAATGTGGTAGAAAAGCAAAATGATCTGCAGTACGAAGTTGCTACTTCAGAAACCATCGACACTTCTACAGTTATGCAGTCCAATACCGAACTTCAAGAAAGAGATGCTCCAGCGGCAGAAAGTCAAAGTACTTCACAGATTGAAGCTGCACCGTTGGATCTCATCAACACTGTAAATCCTGAGCCGTCCATCATTCTAGATGAAGATCAAGAAACTCTCCATAATGAAGCTACAAATTCGACACTAGTCGAACCTGTAATACGTCTGCAGTTCAATGTTGTTGCGCAAGTGAATGAAGTGGTCCCACACGAATCTGCTTCTCGGCCAATAGAAAAGGTTGAAATTCGGACCGATCATGATGAAGCAGGATCTTTAAGTACAGTGTCACACGAAGCCAGTATTGAACCGCACACCCCTCATTGTTTTCTATTGGAATGTACAGTAACAGAAAGTCAAAGTACTTCGCAGATTGAATCTGCACCGTTGGATCAAATTGTAGAAGATCAAGAAACTCTGCACAATGAAGCTGCAAATTTGGCACTAGTCGAAACCGTGATCCCTTTGCCGTCAAATGTTGATGCACAAATGGTCTTACACGAATCAGCTTCTCGACCAATAGAATGCTTTGAAAATCCGGCCCATCACTTTGAAGAAGGATCTTTAAGTACAGTTTCACACGAAGCAAGTATCGAGGCGCCTCCCTCTTTGCACGAAAATATAGCTACATCCACATTTGACATTCTAAATCGAGAATTCGGAATAGATGTGAGTCATCTTTACAGATCGAACTTCCTTTTTGATCATCCTGGTCAGGAAATCGCTTCTTTGAATTCTTCATCCCTAATTCCGAACTCACTCGATAATGAATTGGAAAAGATTCGTAAAGAAAACGAACAGTTGGAAAATAGCCACAAAGAGATGGTTAGTAAATTAATTTTATTCTTGTAATATGTAGTTTCTATTGTCTACCTTTTTTTTTTATTTTGTCTTGTTTTTTACAGATATTTTTCTCTTGAAACAGACGTTGCAGATGAAATCTGACTGTCAGAACGAGATAAAAGAAACTATTGCGCAAATACTTAAAAAATACGAGGTGAAGCATCAAAATTCTGTATCAGAATTTAGGTCGAAAAAGAACGAACTCGAGAAGAATCACAAAATGGTTCTCATGAACAAGAGATTGGCCGAAGCTTTCCGTACTAATTGCTTGGATTTCTCGTGTTTTGACCACCGAGGGATAATTCATCAAGGTAAATTTTATTACCAGCAATTTTTTTTTTTTCCGGTTATATTCTTCGTAAAAAATATCTCAACCCTATGCTTTCTTGCAAATTTGATTGCAGGTGTTCCATACAGTTACATGCAGTACCATCAAGTTAGTCCTCCCACCGGAGTTTCTCCTAACATGCAGATTCAAAGTCAAACTGTACAACCGATGCAACATTCGTCACCGCCACATTCTAGCGTGCAGATTCAAGGTCAAACTGTACAACAGATGCAGCATTCGTCACTGCCACATTCTAGCGTGCAGCTTCCTAGTCAAACTGTACAACCGATGCAGCATTCGTCACCGACACATTCTAGCATGCAGCTTCCTAGTCAAACTGTACAACCGATGCAGCATTCGTCACCGCGACATTCTAGCATGCAGATTCAAGGTCAAACTGTACAACCGATGCAGCATTCGTCACTACCACGTTCTACCATGCAGATTCCTAGTCAAAATGTACAACCGATGCAGCATTCGTCACCGCCACATTTTAGCATGCAAATTCCAAGTCAAACTGTACAACCGATGCAGCATTCGTCACTGCCACATTCTAGCATGCAGCTTCCTAGTCAAACTGTACAACCGATGCAGCATTCGTCACAACGACATTCTAGCATGCAGATTCCAAGTCAAACTGTACAACCGGTGCAGCATTCGTCACTGCCACGTTCTAGCATGCAGATTCCAAGTCAAACTTTAGAACTGATGCAGCATTCGTCGATGCAGCATTCGTCACTGCAACATTCTAGCATGCAAAGTCAAATTGTAAAACCAATGCAGCATTCGTCACTGCCACATTCTACTCAGAATATTGCACCTCATCATCAGTTCACTTTTCGATCTGCTGTGGCGGCGGCGGCCCCACCACAGGTTCCTCTTCCCACTTTGCCGGATCGAACCTTGAATTACCCTCCGCAACAGCACCTACCTACACCACACGCACCCTCGACCTCTCGGTATATGGCTCCACATCTGCGTGTGCCACACCCTCAGTGGAATCAATTTGTAGCGGCGCCAGATCAGCGTACACGTGTAGCAGGTAATCGTTTCTTCTCGTGTATGGGTAATGTACAGGGTAATCGAGCAGTAGATGCTGTTTGCTTATCTGACGATGACTAATTTAATTAACGAATCTTTTAGGATTACACTGATAATTTTTTGTGATGCTTACTGTGAATGAGAAAAAAGATTAGAGATAGATCTCAGTGTTCTTAGATGCAAATATAATTTTATGGCATTATTTTGTTTATTCATTCAATAATTTCATTTTGCTTTAAAATCGGAATGTGTAATTTTTTTGAAATATTTAGTTATTGAATTATATTAAATACTTCATCACTTTGTTTTATTCTCACTGCTGAGCATTAAAACAAGTTTATAAGTGGAGATGTGAATTCTCAATAATTTTAAGCGTAAATTACACTTATACCCCTGAGGTATGTTAAAATAACTTTATGGTCCCTGTGATATCGGTAATTACAATAAAGTTACCTTAGGGTTTTGACGGACTAATGGTCCGATCCATCTTGGTGCTCGTCGTTCACTGGGCCTGGGCCTCGTGAGCTTAATTTCCATCATTTGTTTGGGCCTTAGCCCAATAACTCTTGGTATAGGGAGTTCGGCCCAATAATGCCGAACTGATCCCCATCATACGCCATACTCGACGAACTTTATTCGGTATAAAGTATATAAATTTGGGGTGAAAGATTGTAAGTTTTATTTAATCATGGTAGTGTGTACATGACCAAATTCATAGTTCCACATGCCGATTTAAATGTAAATTCATCCCCTATAGAACGAGCCACAAAAGTTAGGTCAAATTCATATTTCCACATTTAATTACAAATAAAATACACGTCTTAAAATAATTTTTAACCAATTTAGTAAAAAATTGAATAGTTGGATATTGTCTTGTTATCTAATTAATGGTTGGTCAACACCTAAATTGGTTGTCTTTAGACTAGTCTATAGCTCAAGCAATAACTAAGCATAGTAAATGATACGAAGTTGGACTAAGTTCCATTAATTAATCGAGATGCTACATCGGGTGATTTTTAACTATTGATGCAACGAAATGACTTTTCAATAAACACACATACACATGGATGTGTGCGTAATTATGTGCAAATCAACGGTTAATAATCACCCGATATAGCATAAACCCAATTACAAGATTTTGCTTTAAAGTGTCAATTTGACCCTCCTCTTTATCAATATTTTTGTTTTGGGAACCAAAATTTAATAAAAATAAATGGAATTTTGACTTTTTGGGATTAAAATAAAAATAAAAAGAAACACACCAATCATTTTGGCCACTTTGTTTGCCAGGCTGTTGGAGCTTTGATGAAAGCTTCAACTGCAAATAATATATATATATTCATTTCATTTGCCCTTTCCATTTCTCACATTCCAAGAAATTGAATTTTTCCCACCTAAGTCACATTCAATATTTAACACACCCACTAGTGTGTGTATTGTGTGTGTGTGTGTAATATAACTTAGAAATGTCAAATTTTTTTTTTTTTAAATGTCAATTTATGAAGATGTCAAATATAAGAAACGTTTGCAAAATTTGTCTATGTTGCCGTTTCTTGACATTAATCAGAAATGTATCTTTAATTCTTTATTGCATCAATTAATTGATAACGGCAAACTTTGGTGGATGACTTATTCTTGCAAAATAATTAATTATTAATACAAAATTGGTAAGATATTGCTATTTATAGGATGAAATTATTTTTATCATTATATGTTTTTATAACAAAGGAAGCTGCAATCAAATATATAATATCTTGAAAACCAGACGAGTGATATAAATTACATTAGACTATTCATATGTAACAAACTCGACCTAACAACCATTAGCAAAAAATTCGAATTTTGATAAGTTGAGTAAGAATTATTTATGACATAGAAGCAGGTGGGTCACTACTAATATTATTATATTAGGTTAATATATGGTCAAAGATTTTTCCTTTTTTATTTCTTTATTTCTTTATTTCTTTATTTTTCTTTTTTTGCAAGTTTATAGATAATTTTCCTTTTTTCTTACTCTAGCTGCAAAATTTGCAAATGTCCTATTTAAAGTTATAGTTTGACCAAGAATTTCTCAAGTATGGCTGAAAATGAGGCTGAAGTTCTAGTTAGGATGTTATACAATGTCCAATTACATAAATACCCTTTGCCTTTATTTACCAAAATATTATCTAAATATGTAATTACAAGTAGCTTGTAGATATTCAAATAAATTTTATTTTTATAAAAAATAAGTTACATGCTATTTATCGAATATAATTCTTAGTTATGAATTGCTTGAAAATAAATAAATATATGTAAATCTACATGCGCATGGAACACTACACAATGACACAATGTTATTTCCTTTTCTAATAAAAAAATATTTAAAATTCTAATATATCATAAACGTGACAATATTTTAAAGCAGCTTGTAGTATTTATTGGTGAATAATAATTATTTTTTTTTCTTTCCTAATACATGACACCTTCATGAAATACCCGTGACCGTGCCATTTTAGATTACTATTTTAGGACATTTTTTATTTTATTTATCAAGTGTCACGTAAAATTAATGTTATTCACGATTAAAAATAATAATAATGAGCTATGTATGTAAAAATAAATAATGAAAATCCATTAAATTAATAAGTCAAATATTTATGCTTTCAATTCATTATCTTAGCCGCAATGTCGTGGAAGGATAAGCCAAATCTTAAAAAAGTCAACAAATTGTTTCCTCCAAACAAATAAATTCCAAAAATTGGTTAAATTAATAATTTTATTTTTTATTTTTTATTTTTTATATGAAGAAAAATATTGATTTGACCATGGAAATGGATTTTATTTATTTTTAAATATAGAAGAAATCCGCAGCTTAATTGTACTAATGTACCCATCTTTGATTTGAGCATTTCAACTATTTAAATAAAATAAAACAATAATAATTAATAAATAAAACAATGACAAAAAGAAGTAGATTGATATTGATTTGAGAACTGCAACAAACCAACAAATAAAAAACAACCCTATCGTGATAGTAACTCGAGATCAAAGGGTAAAAATGGAATTTGATTTAATTTATTTTTTCTTTGAAAAAAATCTTTAAATGAACATTATAATATGGTTTTACGATTTAATCCACACACTTAAAGTAATTCGAAAAACCCCCCATTTCTTATTAGTTTTATGTTATCAATGACAAGAAGAAATAACTTATTGACTTCAAAGTTTCATAAATTATAGTCAAACTTCTATAAACTAATACAACCGAAACTAACAAAATTCCAGCAAAATATCAAAATTATCGAAATAATAATTCAATACATTTTTTCCGAATAGGAACCAAAAGAAATTATTAAAATTTATCGAGATACTACTGTAATTCAAGTAAGAACTATATAATTAAAGTATAAATAATTAAACAAATAATAAAATAGAATTACGAAAAAGCCCAAAATCAGAAGTTCAAACCTCCACAAAGGTCAAAATTCCTCCAATCCCAACAAATTGTTTATGTACCACTAGGAACATCCTTTCACTTTCAACCCCTCACCCCCCATCTCACCCACCCCACCCCCCACCCATAAATAGATACAGTTATACACACACACACACACACACACAATTACTGAATTACATATAATAATAAATAATTAAATATATATAAATATGGTTTGTAGAAACGTAAAGCCATTGGTTACCGTGTTCAAAGAGAACCCCACAAACCCAAAAATCGGATATTTAAATTAAAAAAAAAAAAGGTTAAGAAACCAAATCAAAACAAATTACTATACTTACAATTTCTCTCTCAGCTCGAAGAACAAGCTCACATGGAGATCTGTTCTGTGTGTATAGTGTCTCGCATTTCACCATTTCTGTAATTCCCCGAAGAAAAAATTAAATCCAATTAATACGTGCATGAATATATCTGCATCTGTATTTCCCGATTTCTGTATCTATATGTGTAAGTATAGCGGCTGAAATTTTGGGGAAAAAAAATGGGGGGAAGCAAATGGTTGAAAGCGAAGATGGCTCTAGGTTTGAGGCTGAACTCGTGTCTCTACGTGCCGAGAACAGTCGAGGATTCTCCGCCTCCTGCCGCCGCCGCCGCCGCCTCGTTGTCTCCGACGCCGCCGCGAGATTCGGATCGTCGGGTGAAAATGCCGACAACGCCAACGCCGTCTTCCTCCGGACTCCTTCCGCCTAAACACTCCTTCAAATCTAGCAAGGTCAAAATTGGAAATATTTATGTTTTTTATTTACGAAATTGAATTTTTACAGTGATGCTTTTTTCTACATGCACGGATATTTTAATCTCGATAGAGTTCCTGATTAGGTTTTCAGAAAATTAAAATTAAAAATTAAACTGCTCTTTTGACTAATTTTGTGGCTAATTACTTCTACAATTAGCTTTTCCTTTCTTCTCTGAAAATGTGAATCTCGATGTTAACCTGTAGTATATTCTCTAGGGCATCAGAGTTCTCCCTTTATCAATTGTGATTCTCACCTTAAGCATTAGTTTATGATAATTATATTCTTAACAACAATTTTCCCCCCTTTTTAGCCTGTGGTCAATAACTTTATTTTTTTTCCTGTTCAAAAAATGATTGTACTCTGAGTCTTTGATGGGGGAATTCTGTATTTCAGTTACACACTTTTACACACATGTAGATGTGTGTTACTGTGTGTAGATTTGTGTAAAACTACTTAGTGATGATGATGGTGATAAATTGATAATGGAGCTAACAAATTTTAGATAAATATATGCATATGAAAACTGTCAGGAGATGGGGCTATATTGTTATGTAGTTTTCAGTTACTGTGTGGGTGATGTGGGGATAAAGTGTGGGGTGTGGATTCTCTTTTGAAAGAGTATAGTCATCTGGCCTTATTATATAAAAAGCTCAAAAAGGTAAACAACAGTGAAATCTTTCTTTGTCTCCTGCCCCATTTTCTCAGAGGGAGAAAAAGAGAGTGCTTTTCTTGGTCAGCAACTTAACTGTTACACACATTCTTCATTTTGCCCTATTTCTCTCTCTAACCCCTTTTAATGATTTCTTGACCATTGTTTGAGAGCTTTCATGCAATATAATTTTTTCATCAAAGTGAATGACAATCGTTTAGTGACTAATGATTTCTACTTCTTTTGATACATTTTGCACTTTTGAATCATTTCTTTCGGGTTTTTTAATGCCTCGAAAGCTTCATTATTGGTTTTGAGACCCTGCTTATTGCCCTTTACAATGTTTAAAGTTAATGAATTGGGGTTTTCTTTAAGCCTACTTTACGGCTATATGCTGTATTGCTTTGTTTTGTTTGACCACCCCCATCAATACCGAGTCTTCTTTAACAGTCTATCTTGGTATAACCTTATTCTGGTTTGGATCTTGAATTTCCGAGAATCTGTTGTAGGTATTAATCTACTATGACAGCTAGAGTATCTGTATTATGTACTGATTGACCGATGTAAATATTGTCGCATGGAGAGGAGGGGGTAGTGTTTATCTATATTGGATAGCAAGCTTACCAATTCAATGGTGCAGCCAAGAATATGTAATATCTGAAATAAGAACTTTATACATGAAATCTTTTTCTTTGGTCCATTTCCAAACTAAAGCTAATTTGCACGTAGTAATTCCCGTCATAATAACTTGACATCGTAATAATTTGCTGTGAGTTGAAAATGTAAAGGCACTGAGTCCACCTGAGTTGGCAATTGACTTGGAAGTTGGAAAGCAATACATTTGTAGGCAGAGGAGCTTAAAGTCAACCTGGAAATATAGCTATATATTAATAATACTTGTAGTACACGTCACCACCTCAGTATTTTTCTATATTCTGGACATAACTTGCATACTAGAAATATTTCACAATATCGAGCTTTTTCGTAGTTGTTGACTAAGTTGAACGAAGGACAAGCTTTTTTTTTATATTTATCCTTTATATATCATTCGAATTTCATCTTCATTTTTTTCTGCAGAAGATTTGTGCAATATGCTTGGAGACTATGAAACCCGGCCAAGGCCACGCAATTTTCACCGCAGAATGTTCTCACTCATTCCATTTCCACTGCATTGCATCCAATGTAGAACACGGAAAGCAAACTTGCCCCGTTTGTAGAGCAAACTGGAAAGAAATCCCCGTCCAAAATCCCGTCGCTAATAAATCCTACACAAGGCCCTTGCCCCAAAATGATATCATGAGAAGAATCCCTTCTCCACAAATACACGTCAATCGACAAGTCGCTCCCCTTTTTCACTCTCCACAAGAACCTATTCTCTTCAACGATGATGATGAAGTTGTTAATAACCAATCCACCACCGCCCCAAATAGCAACAAAATCCACGACGACCATTTCACTGGAGCAGTCAAAGTTCAAACGTTTCCGGAAGTTTCTGCAGTTCCGAAATCGGAACCCCACAACAACTTCTCGATTCTCGTTCATTTAAAAGCTCCAACAACCACTGCACTACAACAGCATTCTCCTCAAACTTCTCGTGCTCCAGTTGATTTAGTGACGGTTCTTGATGTGAGTGGCAGCATGGCCGGTACAAAGCTAGCTCTGCTCAAACGAGCAATGGGGTTCGTAATCCAAAACTTAGGTCCTTCCGACAGGCTGTCGGTGATTGCCTTCTCCTCCACCGCACGTCGCTTATTTCCTCTTCGTAAAATGACCGATTCCGGAAGAAACGAAGCTATCCAGGCCGTTAATTCTCTGAGCTCAAACGGGGGTACAAATATAGCCGAGGGACTCAAAAAGGGGGCTAAGGTATTGATAGAATGCAAGTGGAAGAATCCGATTAGGAGCATTATACTCTTATCCGATGGACAAGATACATACGCCAATAGAAGCTCCTCCGATCATCAGTCGTTGCTTCCGGAAAGTGTTTCTGGTCTTCATATACCTGTCCATGCATTTGGGTTCGGTGTGGATCACGATGCGGTTTTGATGCATTCGATTTCGGAAAATTCCGGCGGGACTTTTTCTTTCATAGAAGCCGAGAATGTGATTCAAGACGCTTTTGCTCAGTGTATCGGCGGAATCTTGAGTGTTGTTGTGCAGGAACTGAAAGTGGAAATCGAGTGCATTGATAGTTTGTTGAAACTCGTTTCAGTAAAATCGGGAAGCTACAAAACTGTTGTGGAATCCGATAAAAGAAAGGGCAGTATTGAAGTTGGGGATCTTTACGCTGAGGAAGAACGAGATTTTTTAGTGACGACCGATATCCCGATTTGCGAATTTACCGAAGAAATGTTGTTGCTAAAAGTGAGGTGCGTCTACAAGCATCCGATGAATTCAGCGACGAATAATTGCGAAAGCGTCGTCGGAATTCAAAGGCCGTTGGTGACGGGGCCCGTGGTGGTGTCGATGGAAGTGGACAGGCAGAGGAATAGGCTACGATCCGCTGAGGCGATGGAGCAGGCTAAGACAGCTGCGGAGCGGGGAGACTTGACTTTCGCGGTTTCCGTATTGGAAAACTGTCGCAGAAATTTGTCGGAGACTGTGTCTGCTCGAGCGGGTGACAGATTATGTGCTGCTTTGGATGCGGAATTAAGGGAAATGCAGGAGCGAATGGCGAGCCGACAAGTGTACGAGACTTCGGGGAGGGCTTACGTACTGTCTGGGCTAAGCTCGCATTGTTGGCAGAGGGCAACTGCCAGAGGGGACTCGACCGATAGTACGAGCCTTGTCCATGCTTATCAGACACAGTCAATGGTTGATATGGTGCATTTGTCTCAGACTATGCCTTTGGGCATCCCGCCTTCAGCCAGTGGGCCCGCAGTTAGGCCCGTAAGGGCACGGTCCTTCAATGCAAGGCCACAGCCGAGGTGATTTTTATTTTTTAATTGTTACTTTGATGCTCGATTTGAAGTTGTAATTCATTCTTAGATTCTTGATTTTTGGTCAAATTTTGGGGTGGGGTTGGAATAAAGGTTAGGGGAAAAAGGAGAAGGGGGTTGTGAGTGAGTTTAAAAATGAAGGGGGGTTTTGGTATTTGGTATATGCAGTTCAAATGTACATGAATGGGAGTTAGGGCAATTGGTGAAAATTGTTTTGGGAATCATCAAGATTCTTTTTTTTTTTTTTAATTGTACATGAAGAGAGAATGATCAAGATTTTGTGCTATTTTTTATATTTCTTGGAGCAATGTCTCTGTTTGATTTTGCATTAGGATGGATTTTGCAGTAAAATAAAATTAAATAGATTGGATCGAAATTAGCTTTTGTAAAATGCATATAGATACTTGACAAATTCTCTACGTAGCCCGGAAACTTCAAATTGTTAAGTACTCGCGTTTCGGACACATTTCGTGCCCAATACCTGAGGACACCGCCGGATACCTTATGCGTCATTTTGCAATTTTTGAAAAGTTAGAAACATATCTGAATAATAAAATTCCAAATATTTTTATTGCCTTTCTTCATAACAATTATTTATATGATTTAATGATCTATTGCAAATTAATAGTTGATAATAATATTCGTATTTGTATGAAACTATATAATTAATATATATATATATATATATATATATATATATATATATATATATATATATATATATATATATGTTTAAATAGTATATTTGTAAATATACCCTTATATTTTTAATATTTATATATTTCTCCCAAGATCCGTATTCTGTATTTTCGTTTTCATGCTACACTGCAAACAATTGATACTCGAATCTGGTCAAACTAAGTTAGTGAGAATAAAATAAAGAAGAGAGGAATAAGGGCTAGCTTTTTATATATGAGCACGTATCTGTTTGTTGGTAATGGGATGTATAGATATATAATTAAATATTCTATAGATCCAAAATAAGCTCCAATATAATAAATAAATGATCTAATAAGTAATAACTTTTCAGTTAATTAAATCATCTCATTTAATTTGTGAAGCTGTCTTATTTTTTGCACACAGTTGTAACAGTTCTCCGACCTGCTGCCAACCCAAGAAGATAAATAAAAATGCAAAAAAAAGACTAAGAAAATAAATTAATCAAAATTTAAAAGGGTTAATTGCGGAGACCCCGCTAGAGTAATATAAAATTACGAAAAAACCATTTTTATTTGGATAATTACAATCAACCCTTTCAACTATGAATCTTCTTACACGTTTACATATTGTGGTGTCAAAATTTCTATCTTGTACCCATTTTATCCCACTCGAGCTTAATATTTTGAAATGAGATGATTATAAGATGTGTGATTTGCCTTGTAAATATCATATTGTAGTGCATCAGAAAAATACATTCTTGCACAAAACGAATACAAACTAGATAACATTCCACGAAATATAAAAGCTGAATTTGACACCACAAGGGTGGACGTGTAAGATGATTCATAGTTAAGGGGTGTGGTTGTCATTATCCAAACAAGAGGGGTTTTTTTCATAATTTTACGTTATCTCAGGGGTCTCCGTAATTTACTAAATTTAAAATTTAAAAGGAGAAGGAAAAAAAAAGAAAAAAAAAAGGAAGAAGAAAAGCAAAAAATTCAAAAATAGATAAATCAAAAAATAAGAAACATTAAAAGCGAGAAATTAAAGAGGAGCCAAGGTAGGAACAGCTTTGGGTCCTTGGACCACACTTTTTGACCCTACCGAAGACGAATTCATCCAACCATATAACGCCACGTGTCTATACCTCCGCGCCGGTGCAATGCACCGTTCCTAGTGATCACTGAAAACGACCGTTGGATTGTACTTCAGGTCAGGCAAGTACTCATCGGACGGTTGCGGTGCACCCATCTGAAGATGCAAAAGCTGAGGATCGAGAAAGCAGACAGTCCACGTGGCGGGAGCCCTCTTCATCATTCTGGTCTGTGCTTCTCCATAGACATCTGTGCTCCCTAAAAAAGCGTTACACTCTCTCTCTCTCTCTCTACATAGCAGTAGATATAGGCACATGCACACACTAATACACACTGATACACACACATTTATATATAGCGTTGCTACTGATTCTTGGACCTCGAGCATTGTGAAAGCGGAACAGATGATATATATATAATATATCTATAGCTGATAAACACACTCACACACACACATATTCACACACTGATACACACAATGTGTGTGTTGTATCTATAGCTGATGCTGTTTGTTCTTGCGGAGTGCACCTCTAAATTTATTTCTCGGTATGTTTTAAGCTTTTCATCTTAGCTCAAAGATGGTGATGTGGTATTTAATTTATTTATTATTGCTTAATTCGTATTCAATAAATCTGAATATGAAAACCTATAATTTGAAAAAAAAGATAAAAATCGAATCTTGGCAGTGTTTTCTACAGTTTTGGCAGAAAATTAGATGTGGGTTTATCAGCATCACCATCATTCTACAAAATCTTTCAACTTTTTAGCTCCTTGGAGAATTTAGGTTAACTCTTTTGACTTCTTGATAATCTTTTTTTAATTTTCTTGATTATAAAAAATTGAAAATTGAAAAAAGAACGGTTTTTTAATGTTGCCGACAGCATAGATCAAGTTAGTGGGGGCTGATTCAAATAGAATACAAAACATGTCGTTTTCTAACACATCATCATCCTCCCAAATAAAACAAAAACAAAAACAAAATTCTAAAAAAAATTGTCTACTGTGTTTGAAGACTGTTGATAATCTGTCTTGTAAGCAAAGTCTTTTGTAACCGTTGCCATGTATACATACATTAGGAGTTAGGACCATTCTTCACAGAAAATGAATTCTTTTGCCCTTTTTTTTCAATTTCTTAGACGTGAATAAATGATTACTTTATACAGAAACAGAGTAATTTATGTAGTGTATTTTAATGGGGGTTGTGTCCAGTTTGTTTGCTGAGGGGTACCTTTCACAAAGTTTGGTTGATGGGTCACATTTTTATTTTTTAATTTAAAATATCAATTTCGGAATCTTGATTTAATTGTAGATAAATCCCACAAGTCTTTTTCTTGTTATATCTTTGCATTCAGATGTCTATTTGTGCCTTCCATTCAATCGTTCGTTGAGCTGTCTTTCCATCTCTGGATAAAATCTTGCTACTGCTTTTCGGGTTCGCCTTTGCTTTCGGCCCCGATTTTTTCGCGCTTGAAAATCTGAAGTGCCGAATGGTAAGAATCACATTTCCTTTTCAATCATTCAATGTAGTATCTATTAGTCTGAATCCCATTTTCGCTAATATATACTTTCGAGTTCATTTAGATTTTTTTGTCGGTGAATGTTTTTGTAGTAGATTTTATATCCCGTTTCTGCGATATTGTTGTGATAAATGCTCTAATTTATTGTATGGTTAGACATTATTCAGCACAAATCAGTTCAATTTTGAGGCTTAGAAAGATCAGCCGATGGATATTTATCGAGTACGATTCCGAAGTTGTCGTTGAAAGTGTACCAAATGCAAGTTTTTTTTTTTTAATGGTAGTTTTTACGAGTCTCCGACAAAATATTCGTAAAAAGGACTAATTCTTAGATTTGTGATTTTGCAGTTATTTATTTTTCAGTTCTGTCGTTGGTTCTCGAGTAATGGGGCTTCGTCTGGAAATTACACTTGTTTGCATTATTAACTTGGTCTGGATTCAGCTCACTCTTTCTGGTTAGTAACGCAAACGTTATCGATGTCTATTTGCTAAAACGTCGTTTTAAAATTACGGTGTAGTCGAGAATATAATTCGGCAGCAAAATAACTCTGTTTTTTTTATAATTATTTTCCAGATGAACTTTCGGCAAAGCCTCAAGAAAATAACTGGACATGCACTTGCTCTATCGCACGACACAGTAACTCGAATTTTCTCCCAGCAAATTGCTCGTCGTCTTGTGTTTGCAGCCTTGGTATTTACACTTTCTCGAATTTATTTTTCTTGCTTCTGTAATCCTTTCTCTCTCTCTCCTAATAAAAATAAAATAAACTGAATTAAATCGGCATCTAGGAGAATCGATTGAAAACAAATGGACATGCATTTGCTCGGCCGGCGGATTTCCTAAATTGGTCGGCGAATTAAACGGCGACAGCTGTTTTACAGCCTGCAATTGCAATGCCGGTAATTCTTCCGATTATGTTAATAATAATGATGGTGCAATTATTTAAATAATTTTCAAATTGATAAATAATTTATAATTATAGGGACTTTATCCGATTTAGAGACTTCGAAGAAGCGGATTTCGAGCAAAGCTGTCGTAATAGCACTCTTAGTGTGTGTAGTCCTCACAGCTCTCGCATTTATTGCTTCGATTCTGTGGTTTATTTATCGAAAGGATAAAAGTCCCGTTAAATGGATTTCTCCATCGTCCGATCGGCTAACGAGTTGTGGTAGTGGTACGAATTTGATGAGCCAAAGTGGAGCTTCTTCAGTCACAGTATATAAAGGTTACTTATACACCTCCGAAAATAAACCTTTTATAGGTAAATAAAAAGTAGTCGATTGTTTTTTTTTTTTTTTTTTTTTTTTAATTCAACGAAAACTCGGTTGATTTTTATTTTGTTTGGAAAAAAAAAATAGGATGCATTCCGAAGGCGTCTTTCCTATTTAAAAACAGAAGAGGAGGAACAATAACCGGAACGAGTATGAACTTTTCGTATTCCGAATTGGAAATAGCGACGAACAAATTTTCCGACGCTAATTTGGTCGGAGTTGGAGGAAGCAGCCATGTTTATAGAGGTAGTCTTAAAGATGGTCGAATTGTCGCTGTTAAGAGAATGAAAACTCAAGGTGGCCCCGACGAAGAACATCTTTTTTTAACCGAGGTAACTAACTAATATTCGATTATATTTTTGCTGCAAAAAAAAATGTTTTTTTTTTTTAAAATCGTCTTTTTCAGATAGAATTGATATCGAGGCTTCACCATTGCCACGTGGTTCCTTTGATTGGATACTGTTTGGAGCACAAAGGAAAGCATGCAGAGAGGCTATTGGTTTTCGAGTATATTCCAAATGGGAATCTTAGGGAGTGTTTGGATACAGATTCTGCCGAATGTTTGGATTGGAGTACAAGAATCGGAATAGCGCTCGGAGCTGCACGAGGATTGGAATATCTCCACGAGGCTGCCGCGCCTAGAATATTGCACCGTGATGTCAAATCCACTAATATTCTCTTAGACGACGACTTCAAAGCCAAGGTTATGTAATAATAATATTAAATGTGGATGAAAAATCCAAAACTAAATTAAATTATGCGAATAACTAATTATAATGTGTGTTTATTTGTGCAGATTACTGATCTTGGAATGGCTAAACACTTACGTAGTGACGGGATTTTGAGCGGCTCGAGTTCTCCTGCAAGAATGCAAGGAACTTTCGGTTATTTTGCCCCCGAATACGCCATTGTTGGACGAGCTTCTTTAAAATCCGATGTTTTTAGTTTCGGTGTTGTTCTTCTTGAATTGATCACAGGTCGAACACCCATTTATAAGGCACCGAATAAAGCCGAAGAAAGTCTCGTAATATGGGTATGGAAAGTTTTAAGGTTTTTCATTTTAAATTTTAATTTTATGGGAAATCGAGGTAAACTTGAGGGACAAAAAAGTGAAATTTGCCCTTCATTTTATATATATGATTTATTGGTCAATTTTTTTTTTAATCTCATTACAGGCGACGCCTCGTTTGAAAGATAGTAAACGGGTGATTCTTGAATTGCCCGATCCAAGAATGAAAGGGAGTTTCGAAGAAGAAGAGATGCAAGTAATGGCATACTTAGCAAAGGAGTGCCTTTTGTTGGATCCCGATTCTCGACCGAACATGACCGATGTTGTACAAATTCTTTCGACTATTGCACCGCGTAAATCTAAAAGGAAGCATTTGCCATTGCGTTCGTATCAGTGTTCATCGGGTGGTGGAATGAGAAGCGATAATCCAGAGCCGTCGGATGAGGAAATTTACAACACATCATCATCGTCGACGGAGGAGATCAAGCAAATTACGTCCGAAATGCCAGCTCGAGGCTCTTTGCAAAGGAATTCTGTGAGCAGCAATAATAATAATTTATGCACTGCGAAAAATGAGGGAGATGATTTGTCGTCCGCGGAAATGGAGAAACTGATGCTCCTGAGCTCGAAAACACGAAGCTGGCGATTACGAGACGATGACGTGGCGGTGGATTTAACCGAACCACGGTTCGAGTCTTTTTGTCTGCCGAACGTTGATTCACATATAGTTGAAATTACATGAGAATTGTATTGAAAATGATTTGTCGAGATGGTTATAATTTATAAACTTGTTTATTTGAAATTGCACTTCTTGAAATCATGCAATTGTTGAAAATTGAAAGGCATAACATATTGAATTGAAGTAATATAGACTTCTAATTTATTATTAATATTATTTAAACTTAATATTATCAAATAAAGATTAATTAGGTTGCACAAAATTAATTAACTTAATTAAGTTCTCTCGCAAGTTACAAATATTGGGATCGTTGGTCTTGCCTAAAAAAGGACCTTAATTTTCTTCGGGCTGGTTTTGTCAAACTGAAATGCTGATTGTAGCGGGACTTTTACTGAAATTAGCTTATTTGCAGCGGTACCTTTTCATTTCAACTTTTTGAAAAACTCAAAACGCTCTCAACTAAAAAAAGTCGAGAATTAAGATTTTCGTGTTTACTTGATAAATCGACTGCCCGACGACAACAAATAACAATATGACCGATTCTGACGAGTTTTACGAGGTAAATCGAAGAAAGTAGTGGAAATTTTTATTTTTCGTCGGGTCTAGCATGTTGTGTAGCACGGGAACCCCAAAAATTAGGGATTCCCGTGCTGTACAACACGATAGCACCATAACAAAAAAAAAAATTAAAATATATAGTCACGTGCTGTGGAGCACGGGAATATCATTTTCCCGTGCCTTGGAGGACGGAAATGTGAGGTTCCCGTGCCCTGCAGGACGGGAACAATGAACAACCGTGCTCTCCGGCACGGGAACCCCAAATTAAATAATTTTTTATTTATTTTTTATATTGTTATTTATATACTAATTATTACTTGTTATATCTTAATAGGGTACTGAAGGTGATTTTGACGATGAGTTTAGAACTGAATATGACAAAGAGTACAACGAGTACGAGGATCCCAACATGTGTTTCGATGTTCCTCAAGACACACCAACAACATCGAGGATCACAGTCAATATTTCAATGTAGGTGTTGAGTTTGAAACTGGGAAAGAATTAGTGGAATGAGCAAAAAAAATGGCTGCTACTCATGGTCATCGATTGATAGTAACTTCAAGCCAGAAAAACGTGTATGTAGTAATTAGATGTCATTTGTCTGGGAAGGGACGTGAAAAACGAACCGAAGGTGTAAAACAACGGAATGTGGGAACAAAGAAATGTGGATGTCCTTTTCGTATACACTGTAGCAAAAATCGAAACGATGAACTATGGCGAATGAATTTAAAAAATGGCACCCACACTCACCCGACACTATCGTATCTTACCGGACAAGGACCGGATAGTCGTTTGACACCATAAGAATACGAGGTAGTGAAGTTACTTAGAAGGAGCCATGTGAAGCCGGGATTAATCTTGGATCGATTGAGAAAGGATAATCCACAGACATCAACGAGTGTGAAACATGTTTACAACCAATTTGAGAAGATGAAAAAAGAGAATATGGCGGGGAAGACTGTGATACAACACGTGATGTCGAACCTTCAAGAATCTGGATATGAATATTGGTATCGAAGTAATGAAGCTGATGATACACTTACTGATTTGATGTTCGCTGCTCCTATTTCATTGAAACTTTTGCGGTTATTCTCTCACGTTATATTGATGGACTGCACTTACAAAACCAATAGGTATGTTGTTAATTAGTATTTAGCATTGTGCTATTTTAAATTGATTGCATTTGATATTTATGTATTTACGTAGGTATGAGATGCCACTTTTGGAAATAATTGGAATCACTCCTGTTGGTTACAATTTTACAATTGTTGTTGCTTTCATATCACATGAAGATGCAAACACATATGAATGGGCTTTGCGTTGTTTGAAATGTGCATTGGGGGGCTGGTACCTAATGTGATATTGACGGATCGTGAATTGGGACTCATCAAAGCAATGCCCCTAATATTTCCAGATTCCGCTCATTTCTTTTGTTTGTTTCACATCAATAGAAACGTGGAAAAAAATGCATCGAGATTTATTGGTAGTACTAAACACGGGCTTATATTTCGGCGCATACATTGGGCAAAATTAGTGGAATAAAAAACAAAAGAAGATTACCATGAAAATTACGAGGAAATGGTTAGACGCTATGGTTGTTACCCCAAATTGATACCATACCTTAATGATACTTGGCTAATATACAAGCACAAATTCGTCAAAGCATGGACTAATAAGATTTTGCATTTTGGGAACACGTCGACATCTAGGTATTTTTGGTTTCATTATCGTCTTGTATTTTATATTATATTGTGGGTGTTTTTAATTATTAGTTGTTATTTTAATGGCTATTAACAGGGTGGAAAGTGCTCATAAATCGTCGAAGGGTTGGATTAGTGCTTCTACCGGTGCCGTGAACACCATTCAATATCAGCTCGACTCCGGGGTTGAGTATCAACTAACCAAGATCATCGGTGAGTTTTCAAAATGCAGTTTAATCCGGTTGCATAAATCATCGTATCCGGTATTTCAGGGTTTGATATGCAAAGTTACACATAAAGCATTAAATTTGCTTGATGATGAGCTCAAAAAACCGGGGTTCCAAGACCCATCTCTTTGTGATCACGTTTTGTGGGTTACTCATGCACTTCCATGTGCATGCCGAATTGCGTTGAAAATCCAGCAACGTGATACATTTATATCTATGGATCTACATCCATTTTGGAGTACCATGCACGTTGAAGAACCAGAAATACCTGAAGCACAGATGGATCGTGAAACAAATATGAGAGACCGAATAATCAGACTAGCCACGGAAGTGTTAGAAAAAGATTATAGCACTATACATGAATAGCACTATTCATCCAGACACCATCCACTTGGCAGAGTCTGCATATGTTATACCGAAAGGAAGGCCAAAGGATAAACCGAAGAGAGATAATCCGGTTGGGAGTACCCACCATTCCCGCGGAAGTCGTCTACTGATGAAGAAAATGGTAAATCGTCTGCAGGTTCTAAGGGTCGAAAAAGTACTTCTACCAGAAGCCCACCATCGAAAGTAACCGATCCCGGTTCTGGTCGTGGACGAGGGCGGGGTCGAGGGAGTGGTAGATCAAGTGATGAATATACTGCTAAACAGAAGAGTAATCCGATGCCTCGAAAGAAACCGGGCGATGAGCTCAATTTCAGATCTTACATCCCAGGTTTTGTGGCAGGATCTATTGTGTCGTATGTTAATGTTAAAGCAGATAGAAATTGTGGGTACAGATGTGTTGCAGAAGCAGTGTTCCGAGATCAGCACAGATGGAGTCGTGTAAGGAGAGATTTGATTGCCGATATGTACGAGCGATTTGGTACGTACGCATCGCAAAATGGTCAAGATGAAGTCATCCGATGGATTACAAGATGCGATTGGCAAGAAGGACCGTGCAGTCGGGACAAATGGATGTCATTTCCGGATATGGGAATGTCGATAGCGACTAAATACAATGCGACTTTGGTCTTATACGCCGTTGTCGGAAGTATAACCTACTTACCTCTAGTTGGTCCGGGTGAATTATCCCATATGATCCATATGGTGTTGTCAGGAAACCATTTTGTCCTTATCCAGTTACCGGTTAATTGTCATCTACCACCTATCACTCCACAGTGGCGACCTGTTAGAGCCGCAAATCTTGCCCACTTGTCGGAAATGTTCGAAGAGCGCCTATACATGTGGCGTCGTTTATCTAGGTTGGGATAGGCATTTTATTTTAGTTGGTATGTATTTGGACCTTGTATTATATTATTTTAGTTGGTATGTATTTGGACCTTGTATTATTTTATTTTAGTTGGAATGTATTAGAACCTTGTATTATTTTATTTTAGTTGGTATGTATTTGAACCTTGTATTATTTTATTTTAGTTGGTATGTATTTGAAATTAAACCCGAAACAAAAATAACATAAATAATAGTCAAACAAAAATAACTGAAAACAGTAAAGCAAGTACAAAACATAGCCAAATGTCACAAAAAACAAATAAATGTCAAACAAATACAAAACATAGCCAAATGTCACAAAAAACAAATAAATGTCAAATAAATATAACGATCGTCTACTGTCTACCCCTAGACCTCCTCGAAGTGCCACTCGTCCCACCCGGTCGCCGACGCGGTGATGGCATCTCCATAAAGTCGTCGTCGTCGGAATCTCCAGTGGGGGATAAACCTAGAAAACGTGCGTGTGGCTCCACACGAGGCTGTAACTGCACACGTAGATGCTGGGGTATCTCGTGCATGTGCGGATGGATGATACGCACAATGTCATAGAAGTCCGGCTGAATAGGAGGGGGGCGTACGACTGGCGGTGGTCCTTGTGGCGCTGGATCCCGGTTGATGACGTACTGATGAGTACGAGGAACGTACCACTCCATGTACCGAGTGGCAGTCTCAGACGGCGGCCAGGCTAATGTCCTACCGTCCAACGTAATTGAGCTGGCAGCCAGGTCCATCCACTCCTCGCCTGGAGGATCATACCGTACCTGGTATGTCTGCCCTCCAAGCGGACCACGTAGGCACGGCTCTCTGGACTGAATGTAGCACTGCGGTATGGTCTGTCTAAAGATAAACTGCCGAAGGACGCGATCCGGTAAATATGGCTCGATAATCTCCATAAACTGTATGCACCCATAATATAATGTACGCGGAACGCGTCTATGTACGTGCGGACCGTAAGGCATCCAGTCAATCTGGAAAATTAGATTAACGTAATAAAAATTAAATTTACATAATAACTAATAATAAATAAATTCAACAATCAAAATACATACCTGATCGGCCTGCATATCATCAAGCATCCTTCGGACCGAGAACAAGTCTGAAATACCCTTGCGTGGTTTCCATTTCAGGAAACGAGGCTGCATCTCCTTATAATCCGAATTAATAGGTGCTCGAAAAGGGCGAAAGTACTCATAAATCCAGCACTACAAATAAACGAGACTATATTAGATGAATATTATATTAAATTACAATACATTATATTAAATAAATGTACTATTAGACTATATTATATACTTATACTAATTATAATAATATATTATATTAAATTATAGTATATTATATTCAATTAATATATTATTAAACTAGATTATATAAGTATATAAGTATCTAACTTATACTAATTAATACTACATTGTTAACATAATCTATTGAGTATAATATATTATATTAAAATACTACTTAAATACCTGGAGCAGTAACGTGCAACCCTGTAACCCCTTCACGTGAGCCCTACTAGCCAAGCCCAACTGTCGGTATAAATGAGCCAAGACAGCTGCACCCCAAGCATACTCGCCGACGTGCTCGAGATCGGAAGAATATCTCATCCACGTTGGCTTGAACCTGTCTACACTCCGGTCGGGGAACAAAGCCATACCGATCAAAAACGTCAAATATCCTACCACCTTCTGCCGACAAGTTCGGGACCGACTGCGCACACGCTCCACAAACTCCGACCATTTTATCCCAATATTGCCGAGCTTGGCATGCGCCTCGACCATGTCCAAATCAAGAACCTCAGCTAGCAACAACTCACACATAGGCCTCTCGTCAACAGAATCACCGTGCACTGCTAAACCGTCAACACGCAACCCCAAAATCAAATGGACATCATGTAGGGTGATCGTCATCTCACCCCAAGGCATGTGGAAACTGTTCGTTTCCGGCTACCACCTCTCTATAAATGCCCCCATGAGTCCCTTGTCTACATTTTTTATGTTGAAGTACTCGAGTGAGTCTAGGCCAGATGTCTCCAGTAGCTCTAACTCATCCTGCCCGTAAGGAGCCATGAGTTGCTTCAACTCATGTTTCTTAAAATCATTAAGCGCAGTAATCCTTGACTCACATCGCCCGACGTTGCGCTCCTGTAGAATTTCTAATTTAATTAGAAAAAGTATATTAAAATAAATATATTTAAAATATATAAAAATAAATATATTTAAACTTACATGTCCTGCCCAAATGTAGTAGGCAATATGACTCTTGAAACTAGGAATCATCCTCCAATCAGTCGGTCCTCCTGGAGCTGGACCATGTAACACAAGTGGGCCACTAAAAGTGTCGAACTCGTACCGAGACTTTCTTGCGCGCGCAGCCGGGACGGGAACATCATCAAAATCGCTCCCAACATGGTCCTGCTCCTCCTCGTGTCCCTCGTAGGGGATACGAGAATCTGCCCCTAAAGATCGAATGCTACCCGTCATAGATCTAGAACTATGATCTATGTGGGGAATCTCGTCCACGACGGGTAAATCAGTGTCGCTCCATAACTCTCCTACGACGGTGAGATGCAGTCATACGAATGCGCTCCGCTTCCGCCGCGGCTTCCCCGCCATACCGAAATTTAATCTTCGGAACTTTATCCGAACTCGAAGAAGCCCATAAGCCCTTTCCCCTTGTCCTGACGTGCCGTGCCATCTGTAAAAGATAAAAAAACTAATTAAATAAAATAATATCAAAAAAAAAAAAAATTGAGTTTACCGTTCAGCTGAACACGGGAACTTGAAGAATCTTTGAAGTCCCCGTCCTCCAGAACACGGGAAACTAAAAAATCTTCAAGTTCCCGTGTTCTTCAAGACGGGAACTTTAAATAATTTTTTTTTTTTACCTAAATTGGAAATAAAAATAATTAAAAGTAGTAGGAAATCGAAAACTTACCGGAATCGAGCCTCGTTTGTACGGTTTGAATGTCGAAAAATTTTACGAAATTCGAATTTCTAGAGAGTGTTTGGGAATAGGAGAGAGAAATTGAAAGTTGAAAAAATTAAAATGAAAAAGGTACCGCCGCAAATAAGCCAATTTCAGTAAAAGCCCCGCTGCAAATAGTAACACTCTTTGTCAAACGGGCTGATTTTTTTTTTGAAAATGGGCCAACATTGCCTAAAATGCCCCTAAATTAAAATAAAAGTTATATTTCCTATTTGCATAAAAATAAAAGGGTTATATTTCATATTCCCCTAAAGTTAGAGGGTTCATTTGAAAAGTTGTGAAAACTTAAAACCCTCTCATGGCGTCCTAATTCAAAACCTCGCAGAAACGCTAAACCCCAGTCACAGCCACCTCTCTCCACTTCTCCGCCCTCACCCCGCCCACACGTATAAATTGATAAAGGAATAGACGGATGGCCGGAAAATCAGGCTCGACGCCGGCGACATACTCGCCGTCCCTCTCTGGTCAGAAGAAGAAGAGGCCTCCCGTACTTGCCGATTCCAATTGGGTCCGACCCGACGGCCGCACCCTCCATCAGTGCCGCCCTGCATGTGAGTTTTCCATTTTTTTATTTTTTAATTTTTGCAATTTTTTTGTATGATATGTATGCTATTGAGTTGATTGAATGGTGCCGTATTTGATCTAATGAACTCCGCGTATGAAATTGTGGACTGAAGAATTGTACTGTGCAATTTTGTTGGTCCTGATTGGTTATCGATTTTGGTTTTGTTTGTTGGTTATATGTATAACTGCTGGCGCTATGTATAATAATCGTATACTAAGTTTCATGTAATGTGTTAACTTTCCTAGCAGTTGTTTTTATTTGATTTGAGGAATCATTAGTTAGTCATACTTATTAAACATAACTATGCCGATAGAAAACAATGCCGATTGTTCCGTGTTTTCGCGGAAGAGTGGATGCAGAGAGTCGATTTCTAAGCACATGGAAATGGCCCTTAATAATTAATTATGTTGAAATTCTATATCCCTAATATCGTTAAACTAATTGCATATTATTTAGGTGGGACGAGCTTGAGTTTATAGTCCATTTAGAGAGTACTATGGTTGACATGACACTCTTATGAAATCGATTGTTAATTTTTTTTTTTAAATCTTGCAGTTCTAAGGACTGGGGCCGTAAATTCTGCTTCAGGGTCTGCATATGCGGAATTCGGAAATACCAAGGTCATTGTATCTGTGTAAGTAGTGCATACTTTTTTAAATACAATGTTTAAAAGTTACCGAGTTGCTATAGCACCATTCCACATTAACTTATTGTAAGAAACAACAAACCAAGGTGTTCTAGATCTTGTCACGTTCAAATTCCTTCCAGATATTATTTGCTACAAAATGGTGTGTGCTGATGTTTTCAATTGGGTTATGCCGTTCAGATTTGGTCCTAGGGAAAGTAAGAAAGCAATGATGTATAGTAACTCCGGGCGGTTGAATTGTAATGTCAGTTACGCAACTTTTGCTACTCATGTTCGTGGTCAGGTGAATCATCTTCTTTATTGATTCTTTTTTTTTTTTTTTAATTCATCTTCTTTATTGATTTTTTTTTTTAATAATTCATCTCCTTTATTGATTCTGTTCAATCTCCTCTTTTCTTTTTCTTACCCTATAACTATAATATTGTTATGTATCTGAAACTTAATTCTACTTATTATTCAGATGCCAGAAACTAAGGATATTTCCTCAATGCTCCACAAAGCTTTGGAGGGTGCCATAATACTTAAATCTTTCCCCAAGACAACTGTTGATGTTTTTGCTTTGGTATTGGAATCTGGAGGAAGTAAGTACAGTATTAAACTTATGTTTGAAAAAAAAATTGCGTTATTGATTTGTAAGCAAGTAATATATGGCAAAACATAGTCACGATTTTTTTTAACTTCTAAGGGATGAAGTAGATTGCTTTTAAATTATTTGATAGAATCTTCATTAAAAAATCAACGAAGTACAATTGCGAAAAGTGTAGTTAATACACTTATTATTACCGAAACAATGAAATTACTGTCGAAGTCGACTAATACCAGCTAATAGGTAGGTGGCTGGACTGCTGAAGTAGTACAGGGTAGATGAACGAAGGTCTAGGAGTAGTATAAGACAATCGGATCGTGGTCCATTTAGATACTTTATTCTTTTTTTCCATTTTTTTACTGCAGCAAGCTAATTGTTGAAAATTATATATCTATTAAGAGATGTATTCTCTAATGTTTCCTATACTAATAAGAACAATTTATTATCGATGCAGGTGATCTCCCAGTAATTACAACATGTGCCAGTCTTGCTCTAGCAGATGCTGGGATCATGTTATATGACATGGTTACCTCTGTTTCTGTGGTACGTATCACGTTTTTATTCTTTTATTTTCATGGACTTTCATGTGTCCAGTTCCTTCCAGTACATGAAATAGAGTGCGAAATTTTGTAGCTATTCTTAAATGTGCACACAACAAATTAAAGAATGAACTTCTCTAAATACTCTCAAAGCTCTGATTGGTTCAACGCAAATTGTAAGTAAAACGGTGAAAAAGGAAAGTAAAATCATTTTCTTGTTAAGGTTTTCTCGGAAATTGTTTAAAATGTGTTGGAGTTTGGACATCCAATGCTTATGCAACTAGTGGCATCGCGACTGCTTGACAACTTTTAAACTTATTGTAAACATCATTAATGATGTCATGTTTTCAATTTTTTATGGGGATACTTTCAAATGAAATGCCACATGTATTCATGCTGCTATATTCATGCACAGTCGTGTCTTGGGAAGAATCTTCTGATCGACCCTTTATCAGAAGAAGAAAGCTACCAAGACGGAAGTCTAATGATTACTTGCATGCCGTCACGTAACGAGGTTACTCAGATGACTGTCACAGGAGAGTGGTCGACACCAAAGATAAACGAGGTATTCAAAATCCTAATCACTAACTTTTTTTTAGTTTGTTTAAATACGTGTCTGCGTACTAAAACAACTGAGCATATTGAGAACCCTATTCGGGCTGAAATCTAGAATCAAAATATGCATTTATGGATTAGATCTTTATTCCCACTAAAATTGCTCGTTGCCATTTGCTTCTTGTTGTTTTTTCATCTTATACAAATACAAATATTGGGATTTGATCTTTTACGCAGGCAATGCAGTTATGTATTGATGCTTGTTCCAAACTAGGGAAGATAATGAGGTCGTGTCTGAAAGAAGCTGCTTCCATTACACAGGATTAGGCTACGTGTTATACAGCTGCTGAAATTATTGGTAAAAAAATCTGTTTTTGACATCAATTTTGCTTCTTAATATCCGGACCCTTTCTTTTCGTTGAAATGTAGTCATCTCTGTCGATTATCCTCATTTAAACGTTGATTTATATTCTGTAATAGTAGTGATCGATTGACATCTTTGAGTTTTTGATGTGCCGCCTATTCCGATAACGGATAAAGTAGCAGGTCTATCAAAGCTTACTAGGAAAGTTTGTACTTCATATATATGTGTTTGTGTGTGTGTGTGTGTGTGTGTGTTCAATTTGATTGAAAGATTTTGATTAGAGTTTTAATGTAGAATTAATTTTGTAGAAGTAATGGACTGGAATAACTGGATAGAGTACAGACAAAAATGTTTGTTGGAGAGAGAGAGAGAGAGAGAGAGAGAAAGAGAGAGAGAGAGATGCATTGAATAGTTGACGGTGGGCATATTCCGTGTTGGTCCGTTAGGGTACAGGGTTTTAAATAGAGACCATCTGGTTGCCCTTTGCTGCCGACCATCTGCATCTGAAATTACGGATTTGTCCCACCGTCAAATGCAGTGCTACATCTAATTTGGTCAAACTAAATATCTATAAATAATATATTGGCCTCAAATTTGGAAAATACTACTTGCGTATACATCTTTGTACAAAATGCATTTCGCCCCTTAGAAATTTTATTTTTTGCACTTTCACCCTCTCAAAATTTTGTGTCACTTGCCCTTTGCCTGAAATCACAATTCAGGCGTAGTTTTCACCGGAATTGCCATGAATCCGTCCAATTGAAGGGCATTTGTGTAGATTTAGAGACGGATAACCATCGATACTAACTGAGGGTTCTCACGATTTTGGGACCATAGTAGGTACAATTTATTTTGGGGCAATTTCATGTGAAAAGTACTGCCAAAATTGTGATTTGGGGCCAAGTGCAACTAAAATAAAATTTGAAGAGATGAAGTGCGAAAATTGAAAATTTACAGGGGCAAAGTGCAATTTGGTGTACATTTTTTTAATTTAATCTTCTTTTTTTTTTTTTTTTGAAAAAATGTAATCTTCTAGAATAAAGGTAATATACAAGTGGATGTCCCTATTTTATGCCAAATATTGCAAGATTTGACTTTATTGTGGAAGATCTATGTGAGATGCTTAGTTTAACCTATCTATTAAATTAGTAATATATGATGTCACCAAAACAATTGATAATGTCTATGGGTGATAGCATCACCACTTAGGAATATTTTAAATTAGAGAATTAATTAATTTATAACAAAAGACAAAAAACTTAATATAATGTATTCATTAACTTATATAACTACTAAATTGTATTGCTAGACTAGGGGAAGAATAAATCCCCAAGTGTTGAAAAATATTCAATAATATTGGTCAAAGTGGTATAAATTTTATTCCATATTGAATTTGATGATGAGTTTTTTCAAACTTGACTATAAGTCCATTGTCCTAACTCCTATTAGATAAAGCACTATATGTTATTTGCTATTTCGTCCTCCTTTTCAAGTCAAATTTTGTTTAAGGCATGGATAAATAAGCGATCTGAAATGTTAAATGTCGTCTCAATTTTATTATTATCGTTTTGACTTCGAACGTGATTTTAGGAATCTGATTTTGGCAAAATTCAAAACACAAAAATTGTAGCTTAATGAGTTAGCTTTTCAATACAGCTTGAATCAGGTGGACTAGATTTATGGTGACAAAATTATGCATGAATGAGTTACATTTTAAATTTTAGATAACTCAAAACATCAAAATTATAGGTAGTGTTTATTTATTCATATTATTTTTTTTATTCACATTTGATTCGAAAGCTAACTCAAAGATCTGCAAAATTAGTTTTGAATGTTTGCCAAATTCAACCTAAAAATTGTCAAAATCACGAACGTATGATTAAAACTGATGTTCTAACAACAAGATATTCGCGGCCGAGAGTGACAAACCCAAATTAAAAAATATTAAATGAAGACCAAGTAACACGTGGCAGGATACCATTGGTGTAAAGTCAAATTAAGTCAACTCCTTGGATCTTTACAGAAAACCCAATGTGTAGTCATAAATAATTATACTAAATTGGACAATTTTATTATTTTAATTAATTATTAAACACAGCTTTCTCTGCTTCCACCCCATTTGTGAACCTTCTCTAGGCTGTACGAATTGTGTGATGATCTTTTCTCTCTCACACACTACACCCACTCACATACAGATGGATACACACATATACACACACATATAGATGCCGTCATAAATTTTCTTCAATAATTAATTACTCCCATATTTATTCTGTTGTCTCATTCAGAAAGAAAGAAACTGATGAACTTCTGGGGTGGCATTAACAATGGAAAAGATTGAATCTTTATTGTAATTAACCACCCCTTAATTCATATACATATTTATTAAATTTTTCCCTTCTTTTTTTTTTTTTTTTTTTTTTTTTGGTTTCTTCTTTTTGGAGGGTTTCTCTAAATATTAGTTGTTTAATTCGGTTCTCATTTTGATCAGAAGGATTCTTCATGTGCAGAATGCTTGTAAGTATTTTCTCTCTCTTGATTAATTGTTCTTGTTTTTTTTTTTCTGGGATTTAGTAAATCATAATCTGATTAGGGTTTTCTTTTTTTGCGCTGTCTTGATTTTGTTTACTGTAATAACTGTATGTATATCAATCTTGATTTTTGACTGGTTCTTCTTCAACCAAGAACATGACCCCTTTTGAAAAAATTGACAATTAAATTTTTGTAGAGAAAATAAAAAATAAATAAGTAAAATCATAGAATTAGTCACGCGCTTGACCTGACTTTTTTGTTGGTCTGAAAACAAACGAAACAGAGTATTTGATACTCCTACAAAGTTGAAAATGGCTGTTAGTTTGTTTCTTCACATGATTCTCTCTTTGCTCGAAAAGCAAAGCTTGTTCTCTCTTATTTAATTATTTTTTCTGGTGGCTATGAATTCGTCGTCTGTCGTTTTCTCCATGCTTTAGGCCTCGTATTAATCGTAGTTCTCGTTTTTTTCGATTTTTTTCCGACAGACGAAACAATCTATATGTACCAACGTCAACAACTTCTTTTTAATCCATTGCCATGGATTACACTAATTCAAGATCCGTAAGGTATGTCGTCTTGTTCGAATGTCGGAAAATTCAGCCCTTCGTTTAATTTCATTTTTTACATGTATATTTAATTTTCTTGTTCGTAAAGTTTGATCGTTGATTTTTCGCAGATTCCACGACGATATTGAATTTCCGAAATATCCAATACCCAAGGTCGATAATAACCCGATTAAAGTGGAGTACAAAATCAACGGAAAACAATCGTTGAAAGCCAAAGTTCTTTCCCGAGTATTCTCGGAGGATTACGAAAGAGTCAAGAAAAAGATACTCGATCCTCGTGGGCACACAATTCGGAGATGGAACAAGATTTTCTTAGTAGCTTGTCTAGTGTCGTTATTCGTCGACCCTCTATTCTTTTATTTACCATCGGTAAACGACAATTATTGCATAAACATTGGATTCACTCTAGAGGTTGTCCTGACAATCATAAGATCAATAGCCGATGTATTCTACACAATTCAAATTTACATTCGATTTCGCACCGCCTACGTGGCGCCTTCTTCTCGAGTCTTCGGCAGAGGAGAGCTCGTAATCGACTCCTCGAAAATTGCATCGAGGTATCTTAGGAGATATTTTTGGATCGATGCTATTTCTGCCCTTCCTCTTCCTCAGGTTTGTCGAATAAAAAAAATCCCGTTCTTTTTTTTTTTTTTTTTTGATATAATATAAAAACTTGATTTTTTTTTTTTTTTGTAGGTGTTGATTTGGGTAGTTATTCCTAGCTTGAGTGGATCGACAATGACGAACACGAAAAATGTGCTGAGATTCATTATAATATTCCAGTATATTCCGAGATTATTCCTTATATTTCCGCTTTCGTCGCAAATTGTCAAGTCGACTGGTGTGGTTACGGAAACTGCGTGGGCCGGTGCTGCGTATAATTTAATGCTTTACATGTTAGCGAGCCATGTAAGTATATGAAATGCTTTTTTTTTTTTTTTTTTTTATTTCGAGTGAATTGTTTACAAAATATTTGAAATGCTATTATATAATTTATTTTATTTTTAAATTCAAGATTTTAGGGGCATCTTGGTATCTACTCTCGATCGAGAGGCAAGAAGCTTGTTGGAGACATGCGTGTAATCTCGAGAGTAAATCTTGTCAGTACAATTACTTCGATTGTCGTAGTGTTTCGGAAAGTAGGAGAAATGCCTGGTTTTTGTCGAGCAACGTTACGGAACAGTGCAATCCCGATAATGCCCTTTATCCGTTTGGTATTTACGGAGATGCTGTTTCCGCTGATGTCACTTCCGCGGAGTTTTTCAACAAGTACTTCTATTGTCTGTGGTGGGGTTTAAAGAATCTCAGGTATATATATAGTTTATTATTCGTAAAAGTTCCGAATTCCACCGATTCTGATCTGAAAATTTTCCGATTTTTGGAACAATATTTTTACATTCCAAATTTTGCAATTTCCGATTTTCTATTTTTCCAATTTTTTTGAACTGAATTGGAATACATATTAGATTTTGATTCCCCGATCCGATTTTATTTTCCGAAAATTCTGAAAAATAAAATTCCTGAAAAATTACAGTTATAACATTAATATTATTATTCTATTCTTCTATTATATTAACCAAAAAAAAATGGAATGTCTGAATTCCGTTGACTCCGTCCGCAATTTCCCGATTTTGTAGCAGGTTTTTTTATTCCAATTTCCGAGATTGCTATTTCCCATTTTTCGATTATCTTTTGGAAAAGGATTGGGATTAATTTCCCATCTTTGAAAAAAAATTTGAATTTTTTCGAAAGTGCTTATTCTGATCCGATTTGTCCGATTCCCACCCCTAATGGGTTTATGATTATGCAGTTCTTTGGGCCAAAATCTTGCGACAAGCACATACATCGGAGAAATATGCTTCGCGATAATCATTGCAACTTTCGGGCTAGTTCTGTTTGCCTTACTTATAGGGAACATGCAAGTAAGTCTCTTTATTACACTTTTTAAATTCTTACAAAACTCGTAAATGTTCGTTCGTTTTTTTCCAGACATACCTTCAGTCAACCACGGTTAGATTAGAAGAATGGAGAATCAGAAGAACAGATACCGAACAGTGGATGCATCACAGGCAACTACCCCAAGAGTTACGGCAATCCGTTCGGAAATACGATCAATATAAATGGGTTGCCACAAGAGGTGTCGACGAAGAAGTTCTTCTCAGAGGACTTCCTTTAGATCTCCGTCGAGACATTAAACGCCACCTGTGTTACGATCTTGTTCGACGGGTTAGTCATCAAATTCTTTCATTTCGAAATTCCAATCACGTTAAGAAATAGGGAAATTTTGATATCGAATTTGCTCTACTTAGGGATTTGGGGGTAAAATTCTTTCATTTTGCCGGGAAAATTGATAATTATAATGATTCGTTTTTTTTTTAAATAATTATATTAAAAAAAAAAATAGGTCCCGTTGTTCGATCAAATGGACGAGAGAATGTTGGACGCGATATGCGAGAGGCTAAAGCCGGCATTATGCACACAAGGCACGTGCCTAATGCGAGAGGGGGATCCGGTGAACGAGATGCTATTCATAATCCGAGGGAATCTTGATTCGTACACCACTAACGGGGGCCGCACGGGTTTCTTCAACTCGTGCCGTGTGGGGCCCGGCGAGTTCTGTGGGGAGGAGCTTCTGACGTGGGCCCTCGACCCGCGTCCGAGCGTCATCCTCCCCTCGTCCACCCGTACGGTCAACGCCGTCTCCGAGGTGGAGGCTTTTGCTTTGAGGGCGGAAGATTTGAAATTCGTGGCGGCGCAGTTTAGGAGGCTCCATAGTAAGCAATTGAGGCATAAGTTCCGATTCTATTCGCACCAATGGCGGGCTTGGGCGGTTTGTTTTATTCAAGCGGCGTGGAGGAGGTACAAGAAAAGGAAGGATTTGAACGAGTTGCGGGCGTTGGAGAGGCTAGTGGCGGGCGAGAATGGGGGCTCGCCGGATGGAGGAGCGGAGGGAGCGGCGGCGGTGGTGGAGAAGGGTGGAGCTGCGGGTGCCGGTGGTGGTGGTTCGGGATTTGGTGTTTATGCGGCGAGATTGGCGGCAAGTAAGAGAGGGGCTCTCAAGAGTGGTGGTTTGGATTCCGGTGGGGCCGGGCGGCCGTTGCAGAAGCCGGCCGAGCCGGATTTTTCGGCCGTAGAGAATGAATGATTTTTTTATTATTTATTTGGTAACTATGTGTGTTGGATTGTGTTGTAAAATATATATATAGAACTGTATGATATATAGAGTTAATGAAGGACAAAGCCCAATTGGTTGGTTTTATTACCAAACTGTCTTTGCATTATTTGCTATAGAAAATTGTAATCAGCGATTCTTTATTATTCGGAGAATGTGCTAAAAGCGTACTTTATAGTTAGGGTAAATTACAGCCAGCCCCTTAGGTATTGTCAAATTACGAAAACGCCCCTTCTGTTTGGGTAATTACAACTACCCTTCAACTGTAAATCTTCTTAAACGTCCACGCTTGATGTTTTAAATTTAGTGGAATCTTTTAGATTATGTGGAATATTATCACTTTTGTACCCGTTTTATCCCATTCGAGTTCCACATTTTGAAGCAAGATGATCGATCATAAAATGTGTTTTTGGGCTTGTATATATCAGATTTTGGTGCATTAGAAACTGTATTTTTACACAAAACGATTACAAACTAGAAAACATTCTACGGAATCGAAAAGATTATGTTAAATTTAATACTATAAGAGTGGATGTATAAGAAAATTCATAATTGAGAGGGGAGGGGGGTAAATATAATTATGCAAACAAGAGTAATTTTTTTATAATTTGACCCTACCTCAGATTGGTAATGATAATTTACCCATATAATTAACATAAGTCTACTACACAAGTCTTCCAAAGTTGACATTTCATTTCTTTGGTGGAAAAGAAATCATATAGAATCTAAATTTATAATCCCTTTAGCTTTTATTGAAAACCTCAATACTAAATTTCGATATCGACAACCGATTCTCTTTATGCTCAAACTCGACCCAGTCAACTCATAATCACTTCGTCCCTATCCAATACTTTTACTTTATCAACTCCTCCATTATTTCTCAATATAGGATGTGTTAGAATATAATGAGTCACCATGACATATAAAATTTCTCTATCAATTTGCTTTTTGATGATAATTCAATAAGGAGATATATATGCACCCAATATAGTCAACGATCCAATACCTTAATTTTGACTCTTTGAAAAAAAATGGTGGTCCTAGAATTGTTGAAAAGAACAAGACAAATGCAAGTTGAGATTTTATGGTAGTGAAGATCTTCACCTTTACAAGTAAAACAACGTTTAAGTACATGTATATATGTACTTGAAAAACGTTGACTTTTTACAAACCTAAATATCGTTGACCTAAAGTTTCATTTTTGGTGAGCACAAAAAAATTGCTTGTAAAAGTTGGATCATCCATTTTTTGGATGTGCCCACATAGGTGAAAAGTATGTAATTTATTTGATTTTATTTTTTATTAATACAAACATACGATGAGTTCAAATATAATATTTTTTTAATATAATTTTATTAATAATAAATTTTATATCCTTATTTCGAATGAATAGAAAGGAGTGGCCCAATTGATAGATGAAAGGCTTTTTTGGTGTGATTAGTTAGGCCCAAACTTCCACTTGAAGCCGGCTTTTGTTTTCTTCCTTGACTTTCTTTCTATAAGATCACCCCAAAGTCAACTCTTAGATATTGAAACATTTTTTTTTATATATTTTAAAGTTCGTATATCATTTTATTTTACGAATTATATTAATTTTATATTCATTAATTATATCACTAATGGTATATATATATAGGTGTTCACTCAGCCGATAAACCGTTCGGATCTAAATCGAATCACAAATTCGGTACGTGCCAAATACCGAATTGAAATTCAGTTCGGTGTTCGGTAATTATTTTTTGGAAGTCCCGTATTTAGTACAATATACGGTATAGATGTCCCGTATACTTATTTCCATTATTTACAAATTAGCTTCTATTGATAATCACCTTTTCTTTTGACGGTCGGTTATTGAAATTTGAATGTCAAATTCAAGTATTACTTAGTTTAAATATGTTTCTTTATTTTTTTATTTTTTAAATATTAAAATATATTTTTGATTTTACTAGTAGCGAATCGAAAAAATCGAATTAATTCGATCAAAAACCGTATCGAACCGAATAGCTCGATTCGATACATGGAATATTGAAATTTCGGTTTTCGAAATTCCGGTACGGTATTACCGAATGTGAGCACAACTTTAAATAAAAGTCTTGTAGTATTTTTAACATGTGTATATGATTAATTTGTAACATGCACTATATAATAATATACAAATTTTAGTATGATTTATAAATTATAATTACAAATATCATTAATGTACGCGTGTCACCTTCAACCGTGTAAATTGTAAACTTAAATACAACTCTAGTCACTATCAATTTTGTTCCAATATATATTTTTTTTAATTTTAACTAAAAAACATCACTTACCAATAATATATAATTAATAAGAGTCTACAAGTAGAAATAAATAAATGATTAATAAATTGATTCTTTTTTGTCTTCAGGCCCACCAGAAAATTCCTAAACCGTCAATTTAGGCTGAAATTATCGCAAATAACCAGACAAAATCTGGTAATGTATGGCCCATAAGTCTACAGTAATATAGTAACGTGACATTGAATTATTATTCATATAGAATGATCCAAAATTCCAAACCATGTGAAAATGCATCGAGAAAGTCTATTTAGGTATTATTCAAAATTGACATCTAATTAAATTAAAGACCCGATTCTTAGAGTTGACCAATTAATTAAAATATAATAATACTACTAAAACTTTATAAATTAATACAGTCGTGACTATAAAAACAAAATTCTATTAATTCAGTGAAATATTAAACTATCTAACTAATAATTTATGCATTTTCAGTAGGTTGGGATTACGATAAATTTATTATTTGAGCGGAATTGTTAATTTATTGATGTTCTACTGTATGAGCATGGTGTAGTAGTAAAATATACATATGTAAATTTAATTTACTTGAAGGACGAATCATGAAGAAAATTGTGTGCCACTAGAATGTAGTGAGAAAACTCAAATACAGTAGAATCTTGATAGGTTAATGATCTCGCTTTTATAATAAATTCTCTCGTCTCGACAAGTGAAAATTTATTAAATTACTAGTTCGATGATTTAATATTTTTTAAAATTAATAAAATTTTATTAATGCCGACTGTATTAATTTATAGAGATTTAATTGTATTTGAATTATATATAAAAAAGAATAATATATATATGCTACCCGTAATTAACTAGTATATATATCATGTATTACATTTACACTAATTTAAAATTATTTACCATTAATTTTTAATCATTATATTATTATATATATTAGATGGTAGATTTTATTTCTAATAACAATGTCGGCAAAAGATCACTAAATAATAAATTTTCCAATACTACATAGTTTGACTCGTATAACATGCATAAAGAAAAACGAGATTCTTCATTGAGGAAATTTATGACGTCACTAATTTACACAATTAATTAAGTTATTATTCAAAGTAAATTAAGATTGTGAATTATCGAATGTGCACGTGTGGTTTTATCATGCATAAAGTAAAATGATACTATCATAAATTCATAATGTCTAATCATTCCCCACTCATGCTAATTAATCTCTATTATCGCTCAACGTAACCTTAATTTGAATATAAGCTTTTTTAATTAGATCACCTTTTCCAAATGAAAAGACCAATAATTGTAGTCATTCTTTGTTAGCCATATACTTATAATATTTTTAGACTTCGTTTCTTTATCTATATCGGATTAATTTGTATTACATTCAGACAGTTCCTTACATTCGATCTTGCATTAAATTAATTAATTTGTTAAATTCATTAAGAAAATATTGATTAGTAACACCTCTCACCTTGTAGATTAATTTTGTGGGGATAATTAAATAATAAACAGAGGATTTTATCCTTAAAACTACATCATTATAATTTTGTTAAGTAATATATTTATTAACAAACATATATAATTCTAAATTTTAATATATTTAATACAAGATTTAATCTAAGGAACCTAACATCGTACTAACTAGAAAATTAGTTAGTTATTGGAAAATATATACTTTCATCTAATTTAACTTAATCTAATAAAGGTAACCGAACGAGGCAGTTTTAACTTTTAAGAGTGTATAATTGCAGAATTCAACTTTTGTAGCGGGATTGAGTAAGTACAAATTTAATAAATAAAATATTTAGATATTAGATAAGAACTTGGAAATTAATTAGTCATGTGATTATATATAGTTTAAGTTGATATACATTTCAAAATTAAGGGTCTAAGTTTGAAGTGCCGCCTCTGAATTATATGTGAGTGCGTTTGGCACTTTTGGCTGTGGATAATTAATTAATTCCAAAATGTTGACTTCTTGACAATGTATTGAGTTTTTGACCACCAAGAAAAAAACTATTGTTAATTATTATTTGGATTAATTAATTAATTATAAATATTGTTTGATGTAATCAAGGATGTAAGTAATTAATTACGTGGCAATGAACAAGAATTTGGCGCCGCATGTTCGCGGGAACGAGATCCAATCGCATGCACCGCGCGCCATGTGAGTCTTTAATTACCTCCCAATTATTTGTCAGAATTATTAAAAAAAATTAATCAAGATTAGTGGTTTTTTCAATTTAAATTAACCAAAAGGAATAAAATTAACACCTTTAAAAAATAAATTATATTATTATTATTATTATTAATTTTTTTTTTTTGCATAATGGGAATGCAAAGAAAAGAGAACCAATGGAGAAAACTGTGAAATTAACACGGTTTGAAAAGAATGGAGAGTTGACAATTTTGTCAGCATGTGATCGACTCTCTTGTTTTTTTGTTTTTTGTATGCTATTTTAATTTTTAATATATATATATAAATTATGTTAATTATATATATATATTTTTTTATTATTTTTTTTAATTAGTAAGATCTAATTATTAGTTTGTTGACATTGATCTACGTTGTTTGACTCTCAATACTATTTCAACCGACCATTCCCAACTTTTATTAATGTTAATTAATTAAGAGCAATTAATTAAAAAAAGATGCTTTTCCTGATCCCTCATTTATTTTTTATTTTATTTATTTATTTTAAATAACAATAATAATGTACTAATTAAGAGAATTAAAACTCTCTTTATTTATTAACATTCTCCAAAATTTGGATATTGTCTTCCAAATACTCTCTTCTCTCTACTCTCTACCAATAAATATCCCAGCAAAATTAAAACTTGAAAAAAAAAAAAAACCTAAAATAAAATAACAAGCCAAAAGCTGAAGATAATAAAAATCAAGAAAATCTATAAGCAAGTGGTCCAGCTTCCAGCTTATTTCCTTCAAAATCAAGAGCCACACAAATTTGAATTATCCAATATGCAAGCTGACGAGTACTAAAATAAAACTAAAAATAAAAAAATAAAATAAAA